GGGTTTAGGGTTTAGGGTTAGGGTTTAGGGTCAGGGTCTAGGGTTTAGGGTTCGGGTCTAGGGTTTAGGGTTAGGGTTTAGGGTTTAGGGTTTAAGGTTCAGGGTTTAGGGTTTTGGGTTTTTGGTTTTTGGTTTAGCCCAGCAGCAGACGGGGACTCAAATCAGAGAACGCCCGCCAAGTCTTCAGCACTCCAACCCCCAAAGTTTTTAGGTTCCATAAGCCTCGGAAAACAGGGAAAAGGCTTAATACAAGGGCCGAAATTGTTTGCAATGATATTTTTTTGGGGGGGGGGTCCTGACTACAAATATAGTATAAGGTACCCCAGAAATCCCTATTCTAATTATGAAGGCCCCGACTTTAAGCCCAAAGGCCCGAGGAACACAGACGCACTAGAGCCAGGTGAAGCAAAAGGGCATCAACGACAAGCCGTAAATCCGTAACCCAAAACCCTAAACCCGAAACCCGAGCCCTAAACCCTGTACCCCCTGAAAGACAAAGACAGAATCGAACCTGAAGCAGCAAATCCTCGAACACACGATTCCTCAGAAGGGGTTCACTATAAGGGTACCGCAAAGGTTTCTCTACGCGATACTATCAGCGAATCAGGGCTACTGATGCTATGCTATAAGTTACGGTACCCTTGTAGAAACCCTTGTAGTACCCTTACAGAACAAGGACTGCTATAGCGGTCCCTACTAGACTAACATATCATGCCTAAACCCCCAACCCCTGAACCCTAAACCCAAAACCTTCATAGGCCCTAAACCCCTAATCCCTAAACCCTAAACCCTAAACCCTAAGCCCTAACCTTAAACCACCATGTAGATTTCTCGAAGGTGGCTGCAGATGCCGAGATGCCTCTGGCGGTCGAATCGGAGGTGTCTCAGGTGCCATTTAGGGTTTAGGGTCTAGGGTTTAGGGCTTCGGGTATTGTTCCGTAATGTTCCTTTAGGTTCCTTCGGGGTTCCGTTTAGGGTTTAGAGGTTCTGCCATGTTCCTGTAGGGCTCCCTTAAGAGGTTCGTTTTAGGGCTTAGGGCTACGGGTTTAGGATTCTGTGTTGTTCCTTGCGGGCTCCCTTAGGGCGTTCCTTGGTGGGGAACGTTTACGGCTCCTTCTGTGGGGTAGGACTCTGTCTGAGGCAGAGTTCCCAAAAAGTATGGCTCCCTTCGTGTGGGCAGCCTTCTTGATGACACAGCTGATGTCACCGAAAGTGGTGGGCGGGACAGCTCGTCTTTTGCTTGGGCCGGATGTCAACCGACTGAAGTCCGGAAAGGGAGCAGAGTTGCTGTGCCAGGACGGATTGCTGGCAGACCCTATCAGGGAACCACCCCCAGAAAGGCTCATGGGTAGTTCTCTGAATTAGGGTCCCTGTCAGGGTCCTTTTTATAAGGGTATCGTATTATTTTGGAGACCTAAAGCTTCTCGCAGGAAGGGATTTAAGGCTTAGGGCTTCAGGGTATCGGGTTTACGGTGAAGGTTTCAGGTCCAAGGTTTATTGGGTCCCCGGGCTATTGTGGGCCATGGGAGTTTCTAAATAGGCTCCACAAGTTTCTGCAAAGTTTAGAGATTTGGGGATAAAAGGGTTTAGGCTGTTGGGCTGTAAGGTTTCACGTGCGCTTTGGGACAGTGTTGGTGCAATTGTAGGTATGAGGTTTAAGGATTAAGGTCGATCTTAGCGATCGCAGGGCTCAGGGTCCAGGATTTAGTTCCTGGTTTTGAGGTTTTGGGCGTCCGGCTTTTGGTCTGCGGGTGTAGGATCTTTTCTTCTTTGGGGTTTTGGAGCTACGGTGGTGTTCCGTTCAAAATGGTTCCTTTTCTGTGACGGCTGAGTTACAGGATAAGAGGACAGACTACATGCGGGCATAGGCAAGGTCCCGTTAGCTATAGCTTGTCATGACCCATGAAGCTACTTACGGTTGATGATATAAATCCTGCATTGCCCATAGCAGGGCAGATACCATAATTCCCATAGTTTAGGGTCCTTAAGGTAATGCAGGATTTATGTCATCAATAGCCTCATCTACTACGTCCTCTGATCCTCCAAGTGGGGAGACACAGCTGTAGGCCCTCCATGCAAGGATGTCTTGGATACAGAGATGTCTTAGTTCTTCAATACCAAACCTTTAAATTTTTTGGGTTCTTATAATTTAGTAGCAATCTGAAAGTTTAACCTTTTATGTCCCTGGCTTATTCGGGAAGTAAGATGTCCTCATCCTGAACCAACCCGCTGCAAGGCTATCGGGTTGCGCCCTAAATCCTTTGTTTGGGGTTCTTGGGGGACATTTAAGCTTAAGCAACCCTTTTTCTACCCTCCAAAAGCTTTCACTGAAGAAACCTTATGGTGTTTGAGAAAGGCATAAAACCGATATTCAAGCCCTAAACCCTAAACCCTAAATCTCTCCCTAGTACTCCGTCAGGAATGGGGATTGGATCCCCAGGATCTTCCCTTGTAGCAGTCCCAAAAACTCATTCGCTCTTCAGGGAGACACGGGATTCATTAGGGACCCTAGGTGCTCGCCGAGTTGAGTGCTAAGCCCCACCAGACCTCCTCTAAAACACCTCTAAAACCCAAAAGTTTGGGGTTTACGGTTTAGTGTCTAGGCTTTAGTCTTCAGGGTTTAGTGTTTAGGGTTTAGTTTGCAGGCTTGAGAGTTTAGTCAAAGCTTTGGGTTCAGGGCTTTCACTAGACTCCCGACTTCTCGCGGACTGCAGGTGCCCGAGGGAGTTGATATCCGCCGTCTCCTCGGTCTTTTGCACTTCTGAGAACTGTTTTGCATCTCTTCCTGAACTGAAGTAGTAGTAGTAGTAGTAGTAGTAGTAGTAGTAGATAAAAACTATAATATATATTGACAGGGGCAGTTGTGCCGTTTTTGAAGAAGGAGAAGAAAACCCCCAGTGTTTCACTTTGGATGGGCGCACGAAAGGGAAGT